ATCAATTAAAACTATGAAATATACCCTCATTTGCGCCTTCTGTTGGTTTTTTGCTACCAGTCCTCTGACCGATAATTTTGCGCCTTTCCTCAGCCTTCCTCTCCTGTTCGCGTTTCAACTCTTCCGCTGCTTTTTTCCTCAATAATGACTTTTGTAATACAATTTTGATAAATATTTCGTAACAAATAAGTGATGGATTTAACATCTAATGTATGAAACATACCCTAAGTTTCTTCTTCCTGTCGGGTGTCATAAAACCCTTCTTTCCTTTCTTAGCTCTGGCGGCCTCTTCCAGACGCGCTCTCACTTCAGCCTTCTTTCTCTCCTTATCCTCCGCTTTCCGCTTCTCCTCTGCACTCAAATTCTTGAATATAATTGAATATAATTTATAAAATTATTTATGAAATTTAATTTATAATAAGCTATTTAAAATAATATTAAAAGTTTAATTTAAATAAATTAAATAGTTTTGGTTTAAATGCAAAAATATAAAAATAAAATAAATATGAAGGATAAAGAAGAATATAATATATAAATAAAATACAATGAAAGTCAATGCACTAAACAATATTGAATAATGTATAACAATATAGCAATAAAAACAATGAAAAAGTGTCAGCGCATACCTGTTTGGCTTTGTTTCTGAACATAATTAATATTTTGTGAACCGAACATAAAAATAGAAATCAAAACAATTTAATAAATGATTACAATATTTCATAAAACATTTGTTAAATTAATAACAATTTAACAAAAACCAAAATTATTAATCACTGCACTATAGATGAACAACACGTTTACCTGTCAGACATTGTGGCGTTAAATTGATAATCGATTTAATTAGTAATTAAATAATAGAAATGCTGTCAAAAAAGTGGTGACTCTCTTGTCTGACTACTAATTCACTAATTCTTGTCACTAATAACAGGCACTGAAAGAGCGCTCGTAAGACCGATACACAAGAATATAGTGTTGTTTAGACTTAATTCAGAGCATAGTTTCAATTGATGCTTCTCTCTCTCTCTTCAGCCTTCCTCTCCTGTTCGCGTTTCAACTCTTCCGCTGCTTTTTTCCTCAATAATGACTTTTGTAATACAATTTCTCTCTCTCTCTCTCTCTCTCTCTCCCTCTCTCTCTCCTTCTCTATGAATCGCATCCTTAAATGGTGTGCTCAGAGCGTCAGGAGTTTGCATCCATTGCTATGTATTAATGCTAACAACTATTCTATTAATAAACCACAGTTTTAAACATAAACATCAAATCAATACATCCGAACCCCTATATAATTAACGACAAGTCTATAAAAACATTTCATATTAGTCTAATATTGTTTGCTATATATTTTACAATACAATAGATTTATTGCAACTTTTGTGAAATCCATTTGAAGTACAATTAGTTTTATTAAATCTCAAAGTTTTGATCTAAGAATATAATCAACTCATTGAAAGTGTTGCCATAAGTATGGCTTCAAAACCATTTTCAACAATGTTTATACAGTTTTGCAAAATTTACACGAAAAACACGATTAATATTATTATAATTTTAAAATTTGAAAACAAGCACTAATTTTGCATGAAATAAGCTTTTTGTGTAATTATTATTATTTTTGTGTAACTGGCAATCAGTGGCATAATTTTAACACCGAATATTTCTTAACACAATTTGCAATTTAATTTAAATTTAATTGTAAATTGATTTATAATTTTATATTAAATTATGTTATCAACAAAATAAACGATTTTTTGTTGAGTAATAATAGGATTTTAATCCAGTCGTCACTTCTATGATAACAAAATAAAAAATATTAATAACACATTTGATTTAAATTCAATGATCTATCAGTTATTAAACTATAATTTGGCGTTAAATTGAATAAATTCAATAAGTTTAAAAATTCAAAAATAAATATTGACTTTATTACTAAATTTGATAAAAGCTTTTAATAACTAAAACATGGTTAGAAACATATTATTAAAAAGCATGTCTTAGATATGCATAATATTTATTTTTCATTACTTTTATGTTTAGACAATCATTTTTGACACACATTTGCTGTCAATTTTTATTCAAAACATTTTATTCAGTCTTACAATTACACGAAAAACACGATTAATATTATTATAATTTTAAAATTTGAAAACAAGCACTAATTTTGCATGAAATAAGCTTTTTGTGTAATTATTATTATTTTTGTGTAACTGGCAATCAGTGGCATAATTTCAACACCGAATATTTTTTAACACAATTTGCAATTTAATTTAAATTTAATTGTAAATTGATTTATAATTTTATATTAAATTATGTTATCAACAAAATAAACGCTTTTTTGTTGAGTAATAATAGGATTTTAATCCAGTCACTTCTATGATAACAAATTTAAAAATATTAATAACACATTTGATTTAAATTCAATGATCTATCAGTTATTAAACTATAATTTGCCGTTAAATTGAATAAATTCAATAATTTTAAAAATTCAAAAATAAATATTGACTTTATTACTAAATTTGATAAAAGCTTTTAATAACTAAAACATGGTTAGAAATATATTATTAAAAAGCATGTCTTAGATATGCATAATATTTATTTTTCATTACTTTTATGTTTAGACAATCATTTTTGACACACATTTGCTGTCAATTTTTATTCAAAACATTTTATTCAGTCTTACAANTTTAATAACTAAAACATGGTTAGAAATATATTATTAAAAAGCATGTCTTAGATATGCATAATATTTATTTTTCATTACTTTTATGTTTAGACAATCATTTTTGACACACATTTGCTGTCAATTTTTATTCATTTGTAAAATAAGTCAGAATGTTAGTTAAACTACATTATTTTTTAAAACTAATTGTCTATTTTGGATTTACTAACCGTCTGTTTGTTTTGTCCCGAAAACAAAAAATAAGTCAATCCAAAGTCAGTTCAACATTGGAGTATATAGTATTGAAAACTTATCCCAAATAGACCCCGTTGTCTGTTATCTAGATATTAGTCCGACAATTAATATAATCACAAAATTATCGATAATAGCCATTTAATCAGGTCTATTAAACTTGATCAAGTTTACCTGTAATCAATCTAAATTTTATGTAAACGCTTACAAAAGTAGTTTATAGATAATTTACCAACATTAGTTGTCAATAATTCAAAACATTTATTCAATTAAATGTTTATTTTACATGCTTAAAGCGTAAAACAACAAATAATATAATGATATTAAAATGCAATTTAACAACAATTTACCATGTTTTGACGCCTTTACTATACTTATAGCTATAATAAAGAATGCATTAAACCTTGTTTTTAATTAGGTTTGCATTTTTATTGTGATACTTTCTATTCAACAAAATCATTATAGTTTGGCAAATGTATTGATGAATGTCTAACAACTGTTGGTTAATCTGATAAGCAGTTTGTTTAGGAATATTCGTTACAATTGAATTGAATGCAAATATTGAGTGCAATAAATGCTATCAAATTATCTTTAATCCT